GGTCCCTTTCTGTGCGTCAAGTTCGTCCGGCCTTGGAATTCACCTGGAGGCCCCCCCCCCCCGAAGCTGTGGAGATCTGTTAGGGACCCGTTAGGAGTCATGCACGTGTCATTCTAGAGGATTGGTTGGATGGTGCCTGGCCCATTCGCACTGATGGACGAGAGTTGTACTCAGATTCCTCTCCTCCGCACCTTCCCCGCTCTTGTAAATCGATAACGTAAGCCTTCCATCCTCAGGGCTCGTGAAGTTGAAACGGGCCTCGCGTATGCGATTGGAGAGCGTGTCTGTAATGTTGTTGTTGCTGCAGCTGTTGGTGGTGGTGTTGATGGTGTTGGTAGTGCTGTTGTTGGTGTTATTGGTGCTGTTGTTGTTGCTGTTGTTGGTGTTGCTGTTGGTGTTGGTGGTGATGTGTCGTTTGTGGTGTTGCCGTTGCTGTTGATGATGTTGTTGGTGTCGTTGTAAGCAATTGGTGCTATGGTTGGTGGTGGTGGTGGTGGTGTTGCTATTGTTGTAGGTGGTGTGGTTGGTGGTGCTGTTGTTGGTGTTGCTGTTGGTGCTGTTGGCGTTGTTATTGTTGGTGCTGCTGCTGTTGCTGCTGTTGTTGTGTTTGCTGGTGCTGGTGGTGCTGTTGTGCTTGCTGGTGGTGCTGCTGGTGCCGTTGTTGCTGCTGTTGTTAGTGCTGTTGCTCGTGGTGGTGATGCTGTTGTTGCTATGGTTGCTGTTGCTGTTGCTAGTGGCGTCGTTGTTGTTGGAAGCTGATTTCGAAACAAAGAGGAGAGGTTAGTGCTGCAACTTGTCAGGCGGCCTGGCCTCTCAGCCGAGCTGTCTCGCACGGGTACCTGATCGAAGACAGGTGCCCAATGTATGAACAGATCGGTAACACTGTTATTACTCGTCCTTGGTTCTGCCCGTGCTGCGAGGAGAACCGAGTCAGACTGGTGGGGCTTGACCCGTGCGAGGGAGGAGCTCAAGAACCCACCCCAGGGCTTCGAGTTGCGTTGCTCCACGGAGCTTTGTGAGCACCCTGCGAAGGAGATGCCGGCGCCTCGTTCGCAAGAGCAAGTCCTCGATGCCGTTCGTTTTGAATATTGTCCCAGGGCTTTCGCCGAGGAAGGCCCCCCTCCGCCGACCCCAGCGGTGAGGGAGCTGTCGGGCAGGCAGGCTTGGTGGAGATGGCTCGTCTTTTAGGTAGGTTGCTCGCGAACGTTCCAGGTCTGGATGGGGAGTCGTCTGGCTTAGCGAGACTGGCAAAGATTTAGCTCGTATGGTTGGGCCTCTGGGAGCTTCTACCCTCAGGCCAGTGTGGCGACTGAGTTTGCAGCCCTTGCGAGTGCATCAGCGTTGCTCACTGGCCCTATCAGCGTTGCATCAGCGTTGCATCAGCGTTTATCTGGACTGCCAGGTCGAGGTTACCGAGTTTGCCAAGGGACTTCGGCACGGGCCGCACCATCACAGGCCCTGCAGCGAGCTTGTGATCCAGACGTGTCCGCTTGCACAGGGCCAACCGGACCGTGTCTCCAAAGCCAAGGCCCACCGGGAAGATGACGAGGCCCCGCCGCTGTCCGAGCGCCTGCGCAGTCGAGGAAGCACCTGCTGCGGGCACCGCAGCAACGAAGGGGGCCCGTGTGCACCCCGGGTCCTCGGATGCAGGGACCGAGGCGATGAATGTTTGCTCTGAGAGTGGCCAAAGCGGGTACCTCTCTTGCAGTGAATGTGATGGACTCGTGGCCTCGCACTGATCGTGAGGAGGTTCCGCACGTCGAGCCCCCCCCCGCCCCCTGCACCGAGAGAAGCGAAGCCACCACACTCTTAGTACTGGGTAGGCAAGTGTTGGCAATGCAGGGAGTGTCGCAAGAGCTCGCGTTCCGAGCAGTGCCCTCCTCCAGGGAACCGTTCCGACAAGCAGCAAGCGGGCCCGAAGCGCCTGCGAGAGGTCGGTCATGAGTGCACCGTGGCAGGTTATTGGTGTTGTTGATGTTGTTGAACTCTCATTTCTGACGAATGATTATTGTTGATCCCCACCGTCCGGTGCACATTGTTTTTTCGATTGAAGTGCCCTTCCCGGGGATCACACCCTGTTTTTTATCAGGGAAAGTCTTGAGGGTAAAACTGTGTCGTTGGCCCCCGGTTTACACCAACAACGGCTCCCGCCTGATACTTCCTCACAATTTATTGAAGAATCGCGCTCTCGTTCTGGACTTCCTTGCAAGTTATCACCGGATCGCGGCTCCCGCTTGACACTTCCTCACAAGTTAATGAAGAATCGCGCTCTCGCTTGAGCCTTCCTCGCAACTTACCACCGAATCGCGGCTCCCGCCTGATAGTTCCTCACAATTTATTCAGATGCCGCTCCTCGACACTCAGGAATGGCGCTCCCGCTACATGGTGCCTTGCAGTTCAAACAGAATTTACGCTTCAACGACCCCGCCCGCTCGACCCTCCCGTCTGGGCCTGCCCGCCCGACCAGCCCGTTACGGACTGCAGTCGCCGCTCGCTGCCCTTCGCTGCGTTCGATGCCCCTCGCTGCCCGTACTGGTTCCGCGGTCGCCTTCGCTCGCTGCCCTTCGTGGCCCTGTTGCTGCCCTCAGTAGCCCCGTCGCTGCCCATTGTGGCCCCGCATTATATGCCCTTCGTGGCCCCCGCTCGCAGTCGCCCGTCGTGGCCCCATACGCATGCCCTTCGTAGCCCCGCTGTCGCCCTTCGTGGCCCTCTCGCTGCCCTTTGTGGCCCCTTTGCTGCCCTCAGTGGCCCCGCTGTCGCCCTTTGTGGCCCCATAGAAGAATGCCCTTCGTTTCGTTTTCAAGGGCTTTTCCAACCACACGTGGCAGGGAATGAATGTACCCCCGGAAGGGGGCACGATCGAAGACGAAGAGAGCGGGTATCCAGGGTTTGGGATATGCATATTGAATGACACGAGAGCAGATAAGAGCGAACAGTCTTACAATGTTTGTTGTTGTTGTTGCTGCTGTTGTTGTTGGTGTTGTTGTGATGGGAATTTCGCCTGGTTCTGCCAGCCCTGTATCTGGTTCATGAAGTGACGGGGAGACCCGTGCCCTCGGGGCTCTCTCTCTCTCTCTCGCCCTCTCTCTCTCTGTCTCTCTCTCTCTCTCTCTCTCTCTCTCCCTCTCGCCCTCTCTCTCTATCCGGAGCGACGGGTCCAGACCGTGATAAGAAGTCGTTGTCTGCGGGCAACGCTCGGAGAGAGGAAGCGTGGCCCAGGCTCTGCAAAGGCCTCCATCCCGAGCGATCGGGGATGACGGTAGGGCTGGAAGGAGTTGACCGCCGCTGAAGCGGCTCTGTGACTGCGGATGTCCTCCTTCTCCTCCTCGTCGTCCTCCTTCTCCTGATTGACGTCGTTCCTCCTCGTCATCCTTGTCACGCCCGCGCGCCCTCATTCGCAGATGCTTCAACTAGTTCTTTCAGTCGAGCGCGTGTCCTCCTCATCCTCCTCCTCCTCCTGCTCCTGCTCCTCCTGCTCCTCCTCCTCCTCCTCCTAGTCCTCGTCTTCGTGCTCCTCCTCGTCATACTCGGCTCGTCCTCGTCCCTGTAACTCTCTCCTCAATCTCTCCCGCCTACTCCTCCTGCTCCTATTAATTCATCATCCCTTCACCTCCTGCTTCTCCCTCCCTCCCTCCCTCCTCCTCCTCCTCTGTCCTCCTTCCCTGTCCTCCCTTCACCTCCTGCTTCTCCCTCCCTCCCTCCCTCCTTCCTCCAGTTCTCCTTGTCCTCCTCAGCACCACCACTTCCTCCTCCTCCCCACCACCACCACCACCACCACCACCATCAGCATCCTGATTATCCTCCTCCTCCTCGTCATCATCATCAGCATAATCAGCCTCATCATCAGCATCATCAGCATCATCGTCATTATCATCATCAACCTCAACATCATCATCATCATCATCATCATCATCATCAGCAGCAGCATCATCATCATCATCATCGTCATCATCATCATCATCATCAGCATCGTCATCGCCATCATCATCATCAGCATCATCATCGTAATCAGCATAATGGTCAGCATCGTCATCATCAGCAGCATCATAATCAACATCAGCATCATCATCATCAGCATCACTATCATCATAATTCAAATAAGCATCAACAGAATCAGCATCATCATCATGATCATAAGCATCACCATCATAATCATCATCATCCGCATCAGCATCATCGCATCATCCTCGTATCGCCTCGTCACGTCATCACATCCTCATCCTCCTCCTCATCATCAGGATCAGTATCATCAGCATCATCACCATCAGCACTATCGGCAACATCATCAATATCATGATCATCAGCATCATCGTCAGCATACTCCTTATCATCGTCATACAAATCATTACCGCTACTATGTTCAGCATCAGCACCAGCAGCATCAGCAGCAGCATCAGCATCAGCATCCCCTCATGACCTCGGCTCTCCTCGACAACACCATCAGCATCACCATCACCACCCTCATCACCATCGGCATCATCACCAGCATCACCATCAGCATCATCATCAGCAACATCAACATCATCCTCACAATCACCAACGGCATCATCATCGGCAACATCGTCACCGTCATCGTCATCGTCACCATCACCATCATCATCATCATCATCATCATCATCATCATCATCATCATCATGAGCATCAGCGTCATCTTCATCCGTATCTTCATCATCATTCATCGTCGTCAGCATCATCATCCTCAGCATCATCATCACCATCATGATGATCATCACCATCACCACCATCATCATCAGCCTCCTCTTCATCACCATTCTAGTCCTCATCAGCAGCAGGATTCGCATCAGCATCAGCATCAACACCAGCGTCAGCATCAGCATCACCATCATCAGCATCAGCAGCTGCATCCTCCTCCTCCTCAGCATCACTATCACCACCACCACCACCATCATCAGCATCGTCATCACCACCACCACCACCATCACCAGCATCAACATCACCATCCCGAGGGGTTCAGATGTGTACGCTTGACGACCGGCGTCCTGCCCGATCATCCGCTGCGCCTCCCGGAACAGGTCGTCAAAGGCGTGCGCGATGTCCTCCGAGGGAATCGGGGACGCTTTCTCCGCCTCGCGGGAGGGCGAGCAGAATGGGGCGCCAGTGCACTGGGGGGCAACCCCCTTGGAAGGCAGATGGGCTTCCAGCAGGAAAAGCACCCAACTGCACAGGCACGAACCACACCAGCATGGAGACCCGCCAACGACGCACGCTGAGACACATGGTCGGGGGCGAGGGGGCGGCAACTCCGTCACATGCTGCACGGCGACTCCCGCGCATTCTGAAGTTCAGGCACGGCGCGGCACTGCACGGACACGTCTGCGCATGCTGACAAGAAAGCACGGCGCGGCACGGCACGGCACCGCAGCTTCTTCTCACTGCAGAGTCCAGACACGGCGCGGCACCTTCTTGGCACCCTGAAGGTCAGACACGGTACGGCACGGCACTGCAACATTTTCGCGTTCTGGAGTCCTCTCGGGCGTCACATTTGTAGCATTCTGATGTGCAGACATGGGCGATCCTCGAATGACTGAAGCTGAAACCCTCACAGCACATGCTGTCTAAGGATTTGTCGGAGGTCCGCGCAGATTTCTTGGATCGGCACTGGACCGCCAAGGGCCGCGCGCGGCCGCGGCCGCCAAAAAGTGTGCGTGCAGCTGCGTCTTCGGGTGCTGCCAGAAGTGCCCCTGGCCCCCCAAGGTGCCCCCAGGAGTCCCAAGGAGGCGCCCAGCTCCTCCAGAGCACCCCTCACGAGGCCCAGAGGGCCCCAGGGTCTCCAACATCGAGCGAGAAGCTGGGCGCGCCCTTTTGGACGCCCGAGATGGGTACGGAAAAAATGGGCACAATGCCCAACAACAAATGTTGTCCAAAACCGACAGCGGCCGCTGTTGGGCAGGTGGCCTTTTTGTCTTCCATCAACGACGTCCGCGACGGCGCGGCCAGCGAGTCCTGTTCAAAATGAACAGGAACTGCTGTTCTGCATCGTACCCATTATTTCAATACCCGTTTCGATCGTCCCGAGCCCTGGGCCAGGGGCGTAAGGGTGGTATGTGTGTACGTGGCTCGTGTGCAAGGGTGAGAATTCAGACTAAAATCAACATCAACATCATCATCAGCAGCATCATTGTCATCATGTTCATGATCATGGTCATCATCATCAGCAGCAGCAGCATCGTCATCATAATCATGATCATCATCGTCATCATCAGCATCATTGTCATCATCATCAGCATAAGCATCATCATCATCATCATCATCATCATCATCATCATCATCATCATCATCATCATCATCATCATCATCATCATCATCATTAGCATCATCATCACCATCATCATCAGCATCATCATCATCATAATCATCATCATCATCATCATCATCATCATCATCATCATCATCATCATCATCATCATCATCATCATCATCATCATCATCATCATCATCATCATCATCATCATTAGCATCATCATCGTCATCTCGTATTCAGATTCCTCCTCCTCGTCTCCTCTCCTCCGCGCAATGAAAACAATAATACATCTGTACAATCAAAAACCATAAGAACTCCACAACATCAAAACCCCCGGCTTCCTCGTTGCGGGCCACGATTGACGTGCTGGGCCGAGAGGCCTCCCAAGAGGGGCCAGGGACAGGCCGACGCGCCGCGAGGGCGGACGGCCTCCAGACCGAAAACGCCTCTCCGCACGCCGCATCCTGGACCACACCAGGGCTGTTGAGGAGGCTGGCGGGCTCAGAAAGTCGATTCAGGGGAACGACAAATGGCATAAACAGAAAAACTCGGAGGTCCGCGCGGATTTCTCGGATCGGCGCTGCCAGGCTGGACCCTCTCGGCGGCGCCTCCGGCGCCGCCCCTGGCGCGCTCCGCGCTCCGCGCGCCCGATGACTGTCGAAAGTTATTCATGCCGATGTGCCAGCAATGCTCATGTCGATCTGTTTCGATTGCAGCTGGAACTGCTCCTGTCCTGAGAGACGCGACGGCGCGCTCTGGAAGGACGCACGACATCGGACATCGAGAGACATCGGGGATCCCTGAGGCCCGGCGGTTCTGGAGGGCGGGTCGGACGCCGCGGCCTGCCCGGAGCGTTCCAGGGGGGCTCCGAGAGCGCTCCGGAACGCTCTGGAATCAGGTGCCCCGATCCCGGCCCCGCCCGGCTTCTGCCCGCCGCCGGGCCTTGCGGCCCCAGGCGATGAAGAGGTCCGTCTTGGTCTCGGTCTTCTCGGACTTGTCGACGTGGGCCCGCAGCTGTATCCTCGTGTCCGCAATCGTGACCTCGGGGCGCTTCTCCGACCCGTCCGCCGGGTTGGGAGTCCGGTCCTGCAGCAGAAGGCCACAGCGCAAATCTCCGACGTCGCTACCGCAGGGGAGGAGGACGAGGAACGGAGAAGGGAGCAACTACGTACGTGCACACGTTGTAGACCCCCCCCTCGGGTCCGTGGTGAGCTTCAAGACCGCATCTCGGGCGGTTTGTGACTCCATCGTGACCACGGCACAGCCCATCTCACTGTGCTTCTTGACCTCGCGGCCCGCCGGGTACCCTCCTCCTCCTCCTCCTCTCCTCCTCCTCCTCCTCCTCCTCTCTCCCCTCCTCCTCCCTCCTCCTCTCCTCCTCCTCCTCCTCCTCCTCCTCCTCCTCCTCCTCCTCCTCCTCCTCCTCCTCCTCCTCCTCCTCCTCTTCCTCCTCAATGTCACCCTTCTCCTTATCCTCTTCGTTATCGTTGTCATCACCATCATCACCACCACCACTATCATCATCACAATAATCAGCGTCGTCGTCGTCACCACCATCAGCACAAGTCCGAGGCCATTTTGGCTCAACGCTGACGAGGGTCACCGTGACCACGAGTCCTCCAGGCGGCGTGAGCGGCATGGCAGCCCTGACGCCGAGGGTCAACTGTCCCACCCTGGCCTTCACGATCCACGGGTCTGTCGGGCTGCGCCAGTGCCTGCTGGCACGTCTCATGGTGCATCCTCGGGGGACCTCTGTCCCGTCGCGGCCCGAATACATGTCGACCTTGTCGGATCCGTGTCGGATCCGTGTCGAATCCGCGTCGAAGGCACGCCAGATCCGCGTCGAGGCCGCATCGAGCCCGCGTCGAGCACGAGAGAAGCCACCGACTTGGGGAGACAGGCGAGGCCCCCCGAGGATGCAGCGCGACCTCTCCTCGTCGAGGCCCACCCTGCCCCACGGCGCCTCCTTCGCCGAAGCCGCGGCGTCCGGCGACGGCGGGCGGCGCGGCGAAGGAGCCGCACGCGGGCCGTGGGCCGCAGGCCGGGCGCCTGGCCGCGGCGCGGCGCAGCCGATGGACAGCCGCGGGGCGCACCGTCCGTCAGGGCCGCGGGGAGGTGGCCGTGGCAGGCCGGCGCCGCCACGGCCCCGGCGCCGGCTTCCGACGCCCACGTGCAGCGTTCCACTCTGGCCGAGCCGCGGCCTCTCGAGCGCCATCTCGCCCCCCAGACGTGGCCGATGCCGGGGCACCGGCGGCGTGTTCCACCCCGAAGGCCTGCGGCGGGGTCGCTGCCGCCCGCGTCGGCTCGCCACGAAGCTGCGGTGCGACGGGCTGGCGGAGGAACGTGAGCGTCGCGAGCGCGGGGGCTCCTATAGTGGTCGTCCGAGCCTCCTCCGTCGTGGGCGGGCTGGGGCAAAAGGTCTGGCCAGGGAGGAGGCGGAGGCGCTCGGCAGCAAGACCACACCCCGGTCCAGCTCGTGGGGACCGCCGCGAAGAAGGGATGCCCCCGCGGAAGGGGAGCAAATCCGGCACCCCATTCTGTCCCTCACTCCCCCCGCAGCGAGCAATTAGCCCCTGGGCCCAGGCTCTCGATCGACGCTCCGCCAAGCAGAGGACCGAGTCGAAGACCATCAAGCGGCAAGCAAGATTATGGTAAGAACCTGAGCAAGCAGAAGACCCCAAGCACGGCCACGGCAAGAACCTGAGCAAGAACTGGACCGCCACTGGCGTCGCATACGATCACTCCTCCTCCTCCTCCTCCTCCTCCTCCTCCTCCTCCTCCTCCTCCTCCTCCTCCTCCTCCCCTCCCCTCCTCCCCCTCCCCCTCCCCCTCCCCCCCTCTCCTCCCCTGCCCAGCGGCGGCGAGAGGACGCCCGACGCCTACGCGCGCGGCGGGACAGGCTGCCTCGCAGTGGTCGCCCTTGAACTCCAGTGGCTGGCGGTCGCCGCCGCGCTGCCGCCCTCCGTCGCGCTTCGCGATGGCGTTGTCGTCGTCCGCGCCCTCGGGTGCTCGACGTCGATGGCGTCGGCGACGGCGGCGGCGACGACGACGACGTCGATGACGCTGGCTTTGGCGACGACGGTGACGACGACATGGGCTTTGACGACGAAGGTGAGTTACCATGACGACGATGACGACGACGACGTTGACGTTGACGTTGAAGTTGACGTTGACGTTGACGTTGACGACGATGGCGACAACTGTGACGACGAAGACGATGACGACGAGGATGCGCAAAAGGACCAAAACGACGACTACGACGGCAACATTGAGGTTGACGACGACGACGACGGCGACAAGGACGTTGGCGATGACGACGATGGCAGCGGCGACGACGACGTGCACGACGACGATGCCGAGGACGGTAAAATTGGCTTTGACGACGACGGCGACGAGGACGACGACGTTGTTGACGACGACGACGACGTGCACGACAACGACGCTGACTTTGGGTTTGACGACGACAGCGACGATGACGACGAAGACGTTAACGACGACGATGACGACGTCGACGACGACGACGTGAACGACGGCGACGACGACTACAGTGACGACGGCGAAGATGACGATGGCGACCACGAAGATGAGGTTGACCTCGACGGCGGCGGCGGCGACAACGACGATGACAATGACGCTGGCTTTGACGACGACGACGACGACGTCGACGATGACATTGGCTTTGACGACGACAGTGGTACTAACGACGCGGACGACGTCGACGTCGAAGACGACGACGACGACGACGACGACGACGCTGTTGACGACGACGACGGTGACGACGTGCATGACAATGACGACGTGCACGACAACGTTGACGACGACGGCGATGATGACGTTGGCGATGACGTCGACGGCGACGGCGACGACGACGATGTGCACGACGATGGCGACATCGACGACGATGACGTTAGCTTGAATGACGACCACGGCGACCACGACGACGACGACGTTGACGACGACGACGACGACGACGACGTGCTCGACGACGATGACGATAACGTTGGCTTTGACAACAACGGCAACGATGACGACGACGGCGACGTTGCCGACGACGACGTGCACGACGATCACGTTGACGACGACGACAACGACGTGCACGACGTGCACGAAGATGACGTTGACGACGAGGACGAGGACGACGACGACGACGACGACGACGACGACGACGGTGACGACGACGGTGGCGACGGCCACGACGACGACCATGACGACATCGACGACGGTGACGATGACGACGGCGACGACGACGATGATGACGTTGACGACGACGACGGCGACGACGTCGATAACGTCGACCTTGACGACGACGGCGAGGATGACGACGTCCTCGACGACGATGACGATGACATTGGCTTTGACAACAACGGCAACGATGACGACGACGGCGACGTTGACGACGACGGCGACAACGACGACGCCGACGCCGACGACGACGACGACAACGACGACGTGCACGAGGATCACGTTGACGACGATGACGACGCCGACGGTGACGACGACGACGACGATAGTGACTACGAAGGTGACGACGACCACGACGACGACGATGACGACAGCGACGACGGTGACGACGGCGACAACGTCGATAACGTCGACGTTGACGACAACGCTGACGACCACGACATGCTCGACGACGATGACGATAACGTTGGCTTTGACAACAACGGCAACGATGACGACGACGGCGACGTTGACGACGATGACGACGACGACGTGCACGACGATGACGTTGACGACGACGACGACGTGCATGAAGATGACGTTGACGACGACGACGACGACGATGACGACGACGACGACAACGACGACGACGACGACGGTGACGACGACCACGACGACGGTGACGATGACGACATCGACGACGCTGACGATGACGACGGTGACGACGACGATGATGACGTTGACGACGACGACGACAATAACGTCGATTTTGACGATGACGACGGTGACGGCGACGATGGCGGTGACGATAGCGTCGACGTTGGCCCTGGCAATCTTTGCGTCAGACCCTTCGGGTGCCCCCCTTGCCTATCAGGCTGCTCCTCTTGCTCCTCAGCGTCGTCAGCGCCGCCGTCGTCCCAGCATTACCGTTAACAGCAACAGCGGCAGCGGCACCGTGAACTCTGACCCGTCACCTCTCCTCCTGCTCCTCCTCCACCTCCTCCTCCTCGCCCCGCAGCGTCCCCCCCCCCTTTCGATCGATCTCGTCAGCGCTTCAAGCGGCCCCACGGGCGCTCCCGCGAGGGAGGTGCGGCCCGCTCGTCGGGCCAGCGGCCGCCCTTGCCGCTGTCCTTGCCCTTGGCCTTGCCTTTGCCGCCGTCCTCGCGGCCACTGGCGCTCCTCCTCCCCAGGCACCCGGTTGAAATTACACTGCGACGTACCCAACCCATCTGCAACAACTGGCCATAGCAGTGGGCCCGCGTTTCGCGGATGGTAGCAGAACAAGGAGCGCAGCTTGTTCTGAAAGCCAACTGGGGGGCTTACACGTTCTACGATTCCACGGAAGTGCTTCTTAAATGACGCAGTACCCTGTAACTTAGAATGCATGTGTCACCGCAGTGGCAGGCGGCCCAACATCGAATCGGCAGAAATCGGCGGACACATCGAATCGGCAGGAGTCGGCAGGGCAACATCTGATCAAAACAAAAACTGAATCACGTCAAGCCAGATCGGAACCGAAACCGGGAGGGCAAAAAGGAAAATGGCGGAGTTGATATACCCTCCCTCCTGCTCTCCTCATCCCGACTTTCGTCGTCGCACGTCGTCGTTAACGTCGTCGTATGTCGTCGTGCGCACCTTGTCGGATGCGTCGTCGTATGTCCTCACACACGTTTTCGTCGCATGTCATCATGCACGTTCGAACGCGTCGAATCGGCAGGAATCGGACCAGGCGAACTCGACATCGGAATTGCGAGTCGGAATCTCCGCGTCGAATCGGTTCGAATCGGCAACAGACGAAATCGAATCGAATCAAGAAGGCGGAGTCTGAATGACACCTGCAGTGGTGGCATGCGTGTGACACCACTAGGCTGGGCCTTCCAGGGGCCCACGAAAGTGGCGACATTTGAGCAGTTGGCAGCCCCCACGTTCAGCCGCAAGGTCGAGTCTGGGCGAGCGTAAGACACCACTGTGCTGGGCCTCCCAGGGGCCCACGGAAGTGGCGACTGGGTGAGCGTAAGACACCACTGTGCTGAGCCTCCCTGAATAACGCGAAAAATGCGACAGTTGAACAGTTGGCAACTCCCACAGGGAGCCGTGAGGTCTAGCCTGGGCGCGCGTGAAACACCACTGCGGAAGTGGCAAGCGTTGTGCAGTTGGCAGCCCTCGCAGGGAGCCGCGAGGCCCAGTCTAGGTGCGCGTCAAATATCACTGCGCTGGGCCTCCGAGGAGGCCACGAAAGTGGCAACGGTTGAGCGGTTGGCAGGCCCACGAAAGCGGGGACAGCTACGCAATCGAAGCCCTCGCAGGGAGACGCGAGGTTCAGTCTGGGCGCACGCAGGACACCACTGCGTGGGGCCTCCCAGGAGCACGTGAGAGCGGCGCCAGTTGCGCAGATGGCAGTCCCGTGGTGGGAAAGGTAGGAGGCAGGAGGTAGGAGGTAGGAGGAGGGAGGCAAGGAGGAAGAGGAGGAGGAGGACGACGACGACGAGACAGGAGGAGGGAGGAAGTGGGAGGAAGGAAA